TTACGAATTCTAGGATATCCATATTTAGGCGTGATAACAAGTAGGGTTTCGTCCCGAACGCTCGGGAATGAGTGCGTCCCGAACACTCATCCTTAATTTTTCTCTCAAATTCCTTTATCAAACCATACTACTTGATCTAGTTAGAGATGAACTAGGGGAATTGGAACTTTTAGACCCCACTTGATCAATCCAGAACATATTATAGGTTAAAATTTCAGTTCGTTTTCGGTAAGCGAAAACTGTCCGGTTTCGGTTATCGAAGAATCAAGTGAAACCGACAACCCTAATCAGAATAAATAAAATAATTCAATAAGTAAATTTCAATAGAATAATTCAATGTTTCTTTTATGATTTTTTTCAAATATAGGGGAAAAATATTTTAGGGGGGAGTACTATTTTAGGGGGAGTACTATTTAAGGGGGGAGTACTATTTTTCAACCCTCCTCCAAAGGGGAGTATTATTTAAGGGGGGAGTACTAATTCAGGGGGGAGTACTATTTTAGGAAATACGGTAGGTGATTGTTGCATCTAAAATAAATATTTTTAATTCCCTCTCTATAAATTTACTAGTTAAATTTACCCTTAGCAATACCAACAGTCCCTCCCTGAGGTTCAAGCCATGTAAAAGCGTCGGTAGACAAATCTACGTGATTTGTTGCACATTCTGGGCATTTATTGTTTATTGGAACTGTTAAACTGTTGAAATTCAAAGGAGTTTTTAAGGATTTTAGATAAAATTAAACGTTTTAGCAGTCGAACACCCAACACATTTATAGGTTATTTTAACACATTTACTCATACAAATTGGGTCGTTAAGTACATAACGCTTATCTGGCAGACAAGAAGGAACCCATTGAGCAGCGTTGTTGAAAAGAGAACCTGACACAGCTGCCGACATTGTTGGCTAGATTTTAATTAAATAAGAGCTTTAATTTGTTTAAGATTCGGGATAAGAGTTTGGCATATACTTAGCTACTGAGTTTGAACTAAATACGAAATAACCGGTCCGAAACATAATTAAATCAAAAAGTACAAATCCTTTTAAGAATATTCAGAGAAAATATCACAAATTTAAATGGATTCTATTTAAGATGAAATAAATAAATTACAGCATCAATATCCAATCCACAGGCCCCACGTCCACCAATTCCATATAATGTAAATATACCTCCACTAATTGGTTTATTAAGGTTTGAAGTAATTGGGCCAGAAGCTTTTGACGGATCAAGACAAGTATCTTTTGTGGTATATTTTGGGGAAACTACTAAATTATTTTGGGCTTTAATGAGTAAAATAAAGGTAAAGAAAAGGAAAATATTTAAAAATAAAGTTTTGCCTTCCATTTTTTAAATTTAAATATCTTTTTGATATTTTTAATTGAATATATTTAATGATAATATTCTTGTATTTATATACTAAATACCTGGCTTTAAAATAAGTACATATTTGTTGAACTTTTCCAAATAAAAAAACAATTGCTTTGTTATTTTTAAAATTTTAAGTTTTTTTTGATTATTTTATTATCATATTAATATACTGAAACAAGGTGAATAAACCAATAAATTTAAGTACATATTTTTTTAATTAATTGATGAATATTTTTATTTAAATTATTTTGTTGTTCCAGATTCTTTTTTTATATTCAACCGATTTAGTTTATTAGACGTGGTAAAACTTTTAGTGAATTTATAATAAGTAATATTTAATCAACACACTCAAAAGTATGGAAAGTTAGGTGTTTGAAATTTAGATTAATTATGTCGTCGGTAGATCTACACAGCAAAACGTATCTGAACAGCACCGTAGATGAGTTTTGGTTCTCCACAATACCGAAGGTGATGATAATTTAATACATACCCATGTTATTTACGAAAATTTTTATCACAATTAAAATCAATATGATTAATAAATTTTAAACTAAACTACAAAAAGTGAATAAATAACAATTTAATTTGGAAAGAAAGAATTTTGAATTAAAAATTTTAAAAGTATAATTTCAAAGAATTGTTCAAGAAATAAAGGAAAAAGTTTGTAATTAACATTCATTTTTTATGATTGGAATTTTTTTAATATTTAATATTTCTCATCAAAATTATCTTTATTCTTTTCTCAATTATTTTATTTTCTTTAATTCCTCACCCTCTTCACTATTGATATATTCCCCATATTCCATCGAAGGTTTCAAATAACCTAAAATTATTTGAGAACTCTTCTCAGATTCAAAATTAATTATTTTCATTTCCCCATCTTCAAAATCTTCATTTTTAAAAGTTTCAATAATATTTAAATATAATCCATATTTAAACCCTTCCAAAATTTCTTTATAATCATTTTTAATATTTCCAAAAAATTTAAATAAACATTTAAATTTATTATCTTCTTTAATTTTAACAAAAAATTTAAATAATTTATCTCCATATTTTTGAGATAAATTAATAAAATATTCCCCTTTATTTTCAAATTTAATACAAATCTCAATATGAGAATATTCTTTTAAATTTTTATTTTGTTTGCCAGTCAACGATGTTTTCTCCAAATTTTCAATTAAATTATTTTTTAATTTTTGAGGTCCCTCAGTTTTCAAAAACAAAATTAATTTAATTAATTCAAACTTTTTGTAATTAAAACAATAAAGTGTCTCTACTCCATCAATAATTACTTTCATAATTTTATAATTATTGCCTTGAAAAATAAAATTGTTTTCTGTTAAATTGTTTGTATTCACATCAATTTTTGATTTAAATGTTGGGCGAAGTTCTGCAAGCAACTAAACATTTTTAAAGATTAAATATTGTTTATTTACTAATTTACCGTATTTCCTAAAATAAAGCCACATGGGGCTCTATTTTTCAACTATCCTCCAAAGTGGGGCTCTATTTTAGGGTAGGGCTCTAATTTAGCATGGGGCTTTATTTTAGGAAATACGGTAAATTTTAAATTATTTTGTAAATTTATTTTGCTTATTTTCGGGAATGAAATATTTAAGAAAAAATAAAAGTACCGGTAGTAAAATAAAGGTACTGTTACCGCGGTAGTATCGAACCGTGCCAAACACTAACTATGACCACCAAATAATTTATATATTAATTAAATAAAATTCTAAATTTTATTTTTAAAATTCTAAAAACTTAAAAATATTGTTAAAGAAAATTTTCGCCTTTAAATTTCAAATTTCTTTTCCTTCGAAACCCCTTCAGCTTACATTATTAAAATTAAATTCCAAAAATTAAAATAATTTTTAAACTAAAAATAAATACTTCTTACGTAATTATAATTGGAATTCCTTTGATGTTTAAATAAACAAATATTAAATCCAAATTTAACATTATCCGTCAATATTCCTTTAAATAATTTATATTTTCTGTCTCTTTTTAATTTAATTCCCTTTTCAAAATAATATTTTGTTTCAGACCAGTAATTACATGAAGGGTTTAAATCCAAATTTAAATAAAGATAAAAATTGTAATAAAGACTAGAATCAAGCTCAACTAATATTTCCAATTTGTTTTCGCCATCACCAAATTTTTCAAGATTAATTTTTAATATTTTAATTAAAGGACTTCCATTTATTTTAAAATTTCTTTCTTTATATTTTAATTGAATATTTGAAAAAACAAAGGAAAATAAAAGAAATGAAATTTGGGCAAAAAAGATTATTTTAAACATTTTTTAGTTATTTATTGAGGAAATGGGATAAATTCCAAATAATTAGAGGAAAGTATTTAATAAAAAAATTTAAATAAAAATTTTTAATTTAAATTATCGTTTTTATATTGTATTTATTGCTTGTACTTTTAATACAAAATAAATACAGTCTGTTGATCAAAATTATCTATTAAAAAAATTTTCCATACTCGTGGAAATCACAAAAAAAAGAATATAATAAATAAATATTTCTTAATTTATTATTTCTTATCGAAATATTTTTTGTTTATAAGGAATTTTTCTGCAGAAGATTTTAAAAAATCTTTTTAATTAGTTCAAGATCATTGAAAAATAGAAAAACAAAATGATGGCTATTTCCTTATATTTACTTGGAATTAACTTAAAAATTGAATTTTTAAATGTTTTCCTTAAAATTAGAAATTATTTTGTTTTAGAAAAAGTAAAAATTTTAATTAAATTAGATGTCAAAAATGTTGTGATAAAATTAATGAATTATCTATTTTGTTGTTGATTAAGTATATTACATCATTTTAAAAGTGCAATTAATGATTAATAAAACGTTTGCTTGTATATTTAAAATAAAATTTGATTTAGGCATAAAAAAAGAAAATACTTAAATATTTTTGTGCTTTTGATCAGCTAAAGTATAAGTGGCGGCAATTTACTTAAAACCGACGCAAATTTTAAATAATTCCTTTCATCCTTATCCGATCTGGCAGATCTTAATTTTAAAAAATAGCTTGATTTCTGTCTCAGTTGACGAGTTTCAGCGTTTTTCGAAATTCTGATATTTTCGAAAACTTTTCGACCGGTCTAACAGGTACTACATTTTTAACTTTTCGGAGAAGTCGAATTCTATATTATGTATTGTCTATATTATTATTAAAAATAAATTTACTTATTTAAAATCAAATAACGATAAATAAATTGTGAAGTAAATCCAAAAAAAAAGAAAAGAAGAAACAATTATCCCAAACAAAAAGAATTAAATTGTGAGGAATCCATTCAATATGTCTTAGAAGACCGTTGAGTACAACAATGAAAATTTTTTAAAAATTTAATTTTATTACCTTTTCTACTTATAATAAACTTCACGCTTTAAATTTTTTCAATGTTTGAATAAGCAATATAAAAATGTTTGCTTAAAATCTAATTGTTTTTCAATAAGTAATGAATGTTTTTATTATACAAAAGAAATTAGATATAGCCAACTAATTTACTAAATAAAATTTTTTTGTAAAATCAAATTTTATAATATTTTTGATTACAAAAATATTTACTCATTAATCTATATAATTTTGAATAACATTTTCCTCATAAAATATCCATTCATAATGAATAACTTAAAAAAAGATACCGAAATAAAATTGCAAAATTTGGATGCGCAGAAAGAGTTTAATGATAGCAGTGAAGAAACAGAAGTATTTGTTTATTTAACTGATAAATTGTTTAAACTGTCTTCTAGATAATAATGAATATTGAATGTGATAATTATTGGATTTAAGGCTAAATTTCCGGGTTAACTCATACCACTATTTAACACACATCGCTTTGTAATTTGAAATTAATTTCAAAATTGTGAATGATTTTGTTATGAGAATTTGGGGTTAAATGCCTAAATGTCAAATAGACTCACCCCATATAACTGTAGAAAGTTGGAATTCTATTAAATTTAATAAATAACATAAAATTTATTTTTTAAAAGTGTACTAGTGAGAGAGAGAAAGTTGAACGTGAATTGCGTGCTGAGAGGGCCCGCAAAAAAGCAGAAGTGCGCAAACGTTTAGAAGAGGCTGGACGTGCCAAAAAGGCCAAAAAAGGCTTTCTGACGCCTGAAAGGAAGAAAAAATTGCGAGTAAGAAAAATTCTAAATTTCAAAATTCTGCCCACTTGTAGAAATTGCTTATGCTAAAGGCTACTGAAGATTTAAAATTACAACAAAAGAAACGTGCAGAAGAAAGACAAATTGTTTTAAGTGAACGTATTCCTACTTTACCTTCTGATTTGGATAATATACATCCAGGTAAGTTGAGGGATTTTAAATATATATATTTTATTTTTATTTAGATGAGTTACTTATACTCTCAGAAGAGTATAGAAGCCGTATCATAGAATTGGAGTCAGAGATTTACGACCTTAGTTATATGAATAGAAAAGTATTAAAATTTATTTTAATTTTCTAGAAAATTTAAATTGTTAAATTGTTCTGGAGACAGACTTTTTATTTATTGGAGAGGGAACCTCCAGAATTTCCTTAACTCCAAAAATTTTTTGAAAATATATTCATAGATATCTTTAAAAAATTTTAACTACGCGTAGCTAGAACCTTTCTTTGTATCTGTTATTAAACATAATTTTATTTAATTAAAAAATCTTTTCAGAAGGATTTTGAAATTAATGAACTAACAATCGCTGTAAATGATTTACGTGGAAAATTGTAATAAATATTCTCATAAACATTATAATATTACATATTTTATTTAATATAAAAGAATATTTCAATTATATTTAGTGTTAAACCAACTCTAAAGCGCATAAGCAAAACTGATTCACAGTTAGCTAAATTTCTTTTCTAAATTGTTATAATAAATTTAAAGATTCGACAAAATAAAAAAACAAAATGCTGCTAAGGTATATCAATGATAAATAAATTGTGGTATTTCATAAAATTGTTATATTCAGGTTGATTTTCGTTCGACATTGAAAACACGTGAAGGAAATAAATTTACGATGGAAGAGGTATTTGATTATTTTGAGAACGAATATTTTATTATAAATAATTAAGGAAAACAAACAGAAGACTAGCTCTGCTGAATGGATAAAATGATAGAGAAAAAATATTCATTGAACATCTTAATGCGATAATGATAATCTTTTCTTGAACGATTTAATTTAGTTTTAGTGTGTTAGAAATTTCTAAGGAATATTCAAAATAAACCAGTACTGGCCAAAAATTTCCGTGTTGTAATTGCAATTAGAGCCTAAAGAAAAGGCTCTAATTCTCAAATAATTTTAAGCCTTTTTATTTTCTTAGCAAAGAAATATCCATATCATTTTTGTCCCTATTGCTCAATCTAGTTAAAACTAGTGAAAATATGCAGAATATTGCTTATTATTTGAGATTTTAATTAGTTTTTAAGTTCTTAAAATCATGCCCTATTTTTGCTACATTTTTGAGTGGCTGTGCCCTATTTTAGTGGATTGGAAAGGGTCACCCAAATCCTGCTATACTTTTGGCTCACCCTATATTTCAAAAGGATAATGTCCATTTTAAAATGATATGTAAATTCACATTAATTTATCAACTGAAGTCTCTGGCATCGTCTATAGAAAATATATAAATAATAAATCAACAAATATTATTTATCTCCAATAATAATTTTCAACAAAAAATACACAAAAAATTAGGAGAATATTTTGGGAGTATTGAAAATAACTGAAGGAATAGAATTATATTTACTCGTATAATTCTTCAATAATGAATTATCCGATTAATTAAAAAAATAAATAGTGGAATTAATTCGAGTAAATATGACAATATAAAATGAACAAAATATTAAATTCCAAACTTTATATTTTTCAAAAAAATTTTTTTGTTCATTTTTAACTAAATTTATGCTTTTATATTAAACTATCACAAATGTAATTAATACAAAAAAATTACAAATGGTTCACCCATAACATACAATCAACAGATATGTTTTTAATATATTTGAAGTAAATTTTTTAGAATTATTTAGGACTTCGAAAACAAAAAATTAAAAAGAAACCTAAATAAAGGAGTGAAGATAGAAAATACATATGTATAGTGAAGAGAAATTTTTAGAAAATAACGAAAATTGGAAAAAATTAAAAAAGGTAGGTAAATGAATGGATGGGTAAATATCTTAAAGAATTTAATAAAAGGTCCAAATATGAAGAGAATTGAATTAAATTAAAAAAGCATTCCAGTGGATATGGGTTAACTAAAAAAGTAAAAATATACCAGGTTCGATTCTAAAAGAATCAAAACCCCAAATACGATAAAGAATCCCTCAAAAATTAGGGCTGGACCTCTTTGAAGGCTGGGGAATTTTAGAATTATTATAACCACATTCCCCTCGCTGTGCCGAAAAATTTCTACCCCCCCCCCCTACCCCAATAATAGGAATCAACCCTATCATCCCTTTAATCATATCTGTTGATATGGAGAAGAATTTATTATTTCAATAGATTTATTACTTCCATTATTTTCATAGCAGTCAAAAATTTTTTCTGAATTTATTTTCTTCACTTCCCAATTATTTTCTATAAATTCCATTTGCCCTCCACTCATTGTATATGGAGTAAAAAGAAATTCGTCCTCTTCCATCAAAATATTTTCACCATAATTTTGTTCAGTTAAATAATCTAATTGAGGTTCGTATTCTTCTACCATTATATCTGAACAAAAATTATTTTAATAATTAATTTTCAAACAAAATTGAGAGAAGAAAAGAATGACTTTAATTTCAATAATGTCCTATGTACTATATTTTAGTTAAGAAAAAGGTTCAGAAATTTTTAATGCAACCAAAACCCCCCCCCCCCTTCCTCAACATAAAATTAGGAATACCTAATAGTAATATATGTATACGGAGGTAATCGTGAAGAATTGGGGATACACTTTTAAAAACCTTAAAAATTATTATTTTTTTCTGAAAATCATTTTATATAGGTAATCGATATGCTGAACACGAATCCGATAACAGATTTTATCAAATATGACATTTTATCTATGATTTCCTATTATGTACTTGATTACCAGCTAAAATTCCGTTGGTCATAACTTTGTTCAGAAATATTCAATCGAGCTCATTTTGGTGCCATTCGACTCATCTCGACGAGCTCTTTCGAATGAGGGGTCAAATGTATAATCGAATTTTTTGACCCCAAAAATTTTCAAATTTCGGGGGTCTGTAACTCGGCCGAATGAGGTCGAATTTCGTTTATTTTGGTGTCGTTCGACTCAGCTTGAGGAGCTCTTTCGAATGAGCTATAATTTGTATAATCGGATAATTTACCCCTAAATCGACCTTACTTCCCCTACGGGTTTTCGATTTTCGGGGGCCTATATCTCTGCGAGTTTTCGTCCCCAACAAAAAATTCTTGCATATTTGAACTCAGCATAGTCGATTACCTATATAAAATGATTTTCAGAAAAAAATAATAATTTTTAAGGTTTTTAAAAGTGTATCCCCAATTCTTCACGATTACCTATACGGAAATTTAATTAGGGAAAATGTTTAGGTATGTTTATTTTTTATGAAAAAGCAATGTGGTAAAAATCTGAAAAAATTCCTGGGATCTTCCCTAGCAATTTGATGAATAATGACAAAGAAATCTGATTTTCAACTCACCCCAGGGTAACCGTTCCAAACCCAAATTAAAACTATATAAAAGTGATGTCCCGAGATAATGATTATAGCTGAATAATTTTTAAAAGTTACTCTGCCTAAATCCTATAACTACATATAATTTTATTTAACCTTGGTTAGTATAGTTTTCATCAAAATTATTGTCAAAACATTTTGAGTTATTGAATCCACGATTTTGGTTATTATTACAACGTTTCTGTGCTCTTTTGTGCAGATTTTTGTGTATTTTTTGCATTTTTTTCATTTCAGCTACGGCCTAAAATTAATTTTTTTAAATTTTTATTGTCAAAAATTTAAAATTAGCCTTAAAAGAAGCAACAGAATCTGCCTGTGTAAAACCAAAAGATTCTGATATTTTATCATCCATACATTTTTGTTCGGGTGCCACAAAGTCTATTAATGTTCGAGAAGCACCTTTTTTTAATTATTAAATTATTTTCAATATTTTAAAAAAAAAACCATAAAAACGTTGTCCTCTATTTCCTATTGCCTGATCTAAATTTGTGAGAACACTTTCTCTACTCTCAATTTCTGAATGATGTAAATCGCCATGTTTTTGGTTAAACTGAAATTTTACAATTGATTGTGTTTAACACTAAACTCCACCCTCTCTTTACCTTATCAACAAGCATTTCCTGTTGTTGAGTATTTCTATTAACACCATTCATTCCAAACTGTTTGCCATTTGGTGCAACAATAAGACAAACAGATAAAAGGAGAACAGCTAAACAAGTACCTCTCTGACCTGTCAACTTTGTTGTGTTTCCAAGTGTCATCTATTAAATATTTTTTTAATTTAAATTAAATTAGGGTAACTCCCCGTCCCCCGACGATTATTTTGGCAAGAACCCCGACCCGAGCCCCGAAGTCTCTGCCCAAGTAAACAACGATCCCGACTCCGAAGGCTCGGGAAGCTACTTTAATTTAAATTATAAGTAAAAATATTTTTCCTAATCCAAGAAGGTCACAAATAAATTCTTGATTCCGCAAATCGGGACAAAAGGGATCCCTACATATTTAAATATACCCTTAACTAAAAATATTTTATGCTACCTGCATATTTCTAAGTTGTGTAACTAAATGTTTATTTTCCCCAGCCAAAATTTCAATTTGCCTTTTTAATTCCCCATTTTCTTTTGTACAATTTTCAATTCTTTGTTCTAATGCTTCAATATAAACCTATTAAAGAAATATTTTTTAAAAAAATATTTTAAAATTTTTGTTTGCCTGTTTTCGCCTTCTACTTGTTTGTGCCGATTTTTTATTTCTAATTTTACGTCTAATTCTTTTTAATTCCCGTTCTTCAGCTTTTGTGAGAGGATAAACATCGGGCAAATTGATACCTTCCTTTAAATTAATTTTAAAAAATCTTAAAAATATTAGACATTTAATATAAGATACACCCTTGGGGCTTTTGTAAATCTTCCTTGTTTCGGTTCCGGAACCATTATGTAAAATTTTTTCGATTTCGAGCCAAATTATATAATGGGGTTATTTTGAATACAGGTTATAATTACAGAGTAAATAGGGACCCAATGGGCAACAAATTTTCAATACAAATCTTAATTTTATAGAGGTATCTTTTGTAAGTTTGGTTTATTATACCAGAATTATACGTTCGAGAATTATTTTTAAAGTTTTTTGGAATAAAAAAAGGAAAAACAAACTTTTTTACATAATTTTCTTTCCTCCTCAGTCAACACCAGCCCTTGATGTCGTCCACGTTTATTAGACATTACTGGCTTTACTTCACTTAAAGCATCCAAATATTCATTTTCAAACTCTATTTCATTTTTATCACGATATCCCTTATTATTCTCCAAATTACCATTAAATTGTTTATTTTGTTTTGAGTTTTGTTTATCTGAACTTTTCGGTAAATTGTTAATTGCTTCAGTTTGGTATTCCTAAAAATAAAACATTTAAAATCCAAAAATATTTTTCAATTAACTGTATATTCCATTAAAGTTCCATCAGTATCAACATAAAATGCTGATTTTGATGATTCTTTTAGTTGAAAATCAACAGGAACATCCAAATTTGGATTTAAAGTTAATGTAGAGTCTGTTTCATATCCACAACTAAAACAAATTTTAAATATAAAAATAAATTAAATTTGATTAAATTTTGGATTGAATCCTTTAAAAGATTGGTAATTCTCAAATAAATTATTAGTAGTAAGTTTGTTCCAATCGAGATAAAAACAGATCATATACATTACTCGCTTTACTTAATATAATACATCATAGACCACGGAACACTATGATTATTATTTTTACCCACTGATATCAGCAAGGATACGAGAAAAAAATACATAAACATAACTCGGTGATATTAAGGGGTAAAATAATCACCCAGTATATAAATATTCGTAAATTTATTGCCTCATATCAGGAGGGTACTTTAAAGGAAAATGGACACTTAAAATAATTTTTTACCCCAAAAAATCAAATTAATTTACAAAATTATTTCCCAAAAATATCCAAAATTGTTAACCTATTTCGAATGCTTGTACATCCAGAACTTTCATTTGATGTAACATTTGAGGAAAGCCCCGAATCTGGGGAACCACAAAAAGAGGGCATTTCAAAGTAACAATGATCGTGATCTTGGGAAGTATATTTTTGTTGCTTTAAATTATTTTTATATTTCTTTAAAGAACAAAATTAAAAACCCAATTTTGTTCTTCTTCCACACGTCCATATAAATCATCCAAATCAAAATTTAAAGGAGAAGAAACCGAAGAACCAAGAAATTGTTCTAAATCATTGTCAGCCTCAAAAATAATTTTTTAAAAATTTTTTTTAAAAAATTTTATTTTTATTAAAAATAAATTAAAATTAAAAATAATTTTATTTATTAAAATTTTTTAAAATTTTATAAAAAATAATTTTTAATTAAAAAATTCACAAGCATTCCGAGGTTTGGATCTAATCCATTTAAAAGAGAATCGAATCCGTTGTGATTAATGTTGTTACAATCAACAAACTCAGTTTCAGAGGAATCGTCAAAATTATCCATAATAATTATATGGAAATAATGCTTTTTAAACTATAAAAAATAAAAATATTTTTATGAAATAATGGATAAAAATAAATTAAAAAAATTAAAACTTGAAGGAAGCAAAATAATGAAAAATTTTAAATTTGCAAATATAAATATATACCGTAAATACTCTAATATAAGCCCTGAGCTTATATTTTTCAATAGATTGTACCGAATTTATTGTGCGGATTTAACCCGGGGTTGAGGGTTATTTAACCCTGATTTTATTGTACGGGCCCAGATGAGCTTCATATTAAAGTATTTACGTTATTTATGTAAATGTAAATAAAATGTAAATTGGAAAAAATAAAATTGAAAATAAAAACAAAAATAAAAGAATTTTGAATATTTAAATAAAAAAATTTAAAATTTTAATTAATAATTTCATTAAATTTAATTTATTTTAATAAAATAAATATTTGTACTTTTTTTTATTTAGAAGCATTTCTTTTGAGGTTAACATTTTCGATAAAAAATAATAAAAATACTAGTTACCAAATACAACCAAAGCTAACAAGGAAATAAAAATAGAAAAGCTTAAAGAAAAAGAACTAAAAGAGAATAATTTAAGAAGGGATTGTATAACACACTAAAAATAATTAAAAAATTAATTCAGAAATTTAAATAAAAAAAATAATTTGAAAGTTTTAAATAAATTGAAAAATTAATTTAAATTATATAATAAGTATTTAATGATCTTACGAGGAATTTCCAACATAACGAGATTGAGGATCGGAACCAGTATTCAAAAAGAATTCTAAAACATTTTTTCTCCCATCCTTAGTTAAATAAACTTAAAAAAATTAAAAAATATAAAAAGAATTATCAATAACTAACAACACGCAAAACAAATAAAAATAATATCGTTAGTTATACATATTTATTTATATACGGTTTTGTGGTAAATACTCACAAAAATATACTTTATCAAATGGGTTTGTTAAATTTTTTTGAAAAATTTTTCCGAGGATATGAGATTTGGTATATCCGGATTATCTCGGCCAATTTTCATTTTTATGAAAAATGCAGAAACATGTAAACTGAGATACAAATAGAGCCTTCGATTGCTATATAGAACGTATTTTTTGAATAAAAAATTAAGAATTTAAAGAAAATTTTCAAGTTTTTAAATAATTTTCAATAAGAATTTTTGTCGCTCTCTCACAGCCCAAATAGTCTACAATCAATTTAGTCTGCTGTAAACATCAATAATAAAGCTATAGAGAGATAGAATGAGGGAATGAAGGAAATGAAGGTAGTGCAACGTCGCCTTAGCGATGGCTGGCTAGTAAAAACCCAAAAAATCAACCCCACCCTTTGAAAAAAACAAGAAAATCCAAAGGAGTGTTTGATTTTCGGGGAGATGTTCTTTTAGACAAGAATGTGTTTGATGGACACCGAAAAATCCACTTTTGAAGGACAAAAAACTTTAAACATTGACCTTAATTTTTGGAAAGCAAAATCGTGTCCAAACGAGCGAAAACTCGACAAATGTTTTTCAAGAAGGGAGAAATAATTTCTGCAGATTAAAAATTTATATTACCAAAAAGAGTTCAAACACAGGATCAAATATTTGAATGAGTTTATAAAAAAATTCAAAATAACTTATTTTGTATGAAAAAAACGAGAATAACTTGAATGAATAATAAATAAAAGGATTATATTTTATGAGAATGCACTTTACTATTAAATTTAATAAAGTATGAAATGATGTTGATATGTGGAAAATTTGGAAAAAATTCAAGTTTAAAAAAGATAAAAATTGCATTTAAAGTTAAGCTAAACAAACTAATGTAATAATATTTGCATTAAATTAAATCAAATGTTTAAATTTTTGTTTTATTTAGCCTTTTAGTGAGTGATACTAGTAAGGGTTATGTTACATTTACTATTTTTTTATGTCTACAGACTAAAAAATTTTTTTTCTAAATCTTTATTTATCCAATTTATAAGAAATTAAGGCAGATATCATTACAGCTAGTGCAAACGGTTTATCAGCGGCAAGGGCGAACCAGTATCTTCAGTAGATGGATGTGCTGAATTTTTTGAATTTTTTTCATTCAGACTGATGTGTTATCCATTACACTACGCCACTTACTGCACATCCTTAGGAATTAAATAGCTATATGCTTTAAAGAATTAATTTTATTTTTTCAAATTAACGATAAGTAACCAAAAAAGTGATTGAAAAATAAAGTGCAAATTAAGTGAGCAATAAAAGAAGTCGTCTTAATAAAAGAATTCGCTCTATTTAATTATACGGTTATACTAAATCAGGACTTCCGCTTTTCGGATAATTACATATGAAAATATTTCATAAAAATAAATTAAACAACTCTTTAAATTAAAGGACCATCATTTGAAACATATCTATGGATATACTCATATAATATTTATTTTATCGAATATAGTCTTTTAATAGATAAAAGTGCAATTTTAGACTAGCATTGTCTTTTGACTGTCTAGACAATATCCAGGTGTGTATATAAATTTTAGAAACACAACAGAAAGTTAAAATGCTTGTTAAATTTATAAAAATATTATACAAATTTATCGAGAACTGAATGTTTATCTGATTTAAAAAGTAAAAATGTTGCGGAGATTGTTTTGTTGAAAAAACTATTTGTGTTCATGATATAAAAAATTCGTTGGATGGGGATAGAAGAAGTGAAAAAAATGTAAATTAAGGATAATTAAGAGATTTTTTTGTTGTAGATTTAAGTTTTACTTATTATTTTATTAGGGGAATAAAAAATTATTTATTTTATAAATACATAGTTATTTTTTAAATCTACATATCCATCAAAAATTTAAAAAAATCTCAATATTTATTTAATATTTTAATGAATTAATTAAATTATTATAATTAAAAATTTATATCTGATTTTAAAAAATTTTTATTTAAACTAATTTTTAAAATTTTTAACTTTTATATTTTTTGTTCGGGAAAAATTAAATCAAGAAAGGATTAATTGTAATATTTGCCAATAAATTAACCAAAATTATTAAAAAATTTTAAAGTTCTTTCTTAAACCTGGAAAATAATAAAATTGAATTTTGTAAATAAATTAATAACAAATAATGCTGAAAATAAAAATTTTATAATTGTTAATTTAAAATTATTTTCATTTTTTTTCTAAATTAAAAAATATAATTTTAAAAAATTAAATAAATTATTCATTTTTAGATATCAGAATCTAAAAATCCATTAAATATTACTTAAATATTTATTATTATAATATTATACTCGTAATATAAATATTTTCATTCCTTTTCTCTCACAATTCCTTCTTTATCAATATAAAATTCATAATTTCCATAATTAATTAAAGGAGTTATTTTCCCAATTAATCTCATATCCTCCAAAACATTATCCCCCTCCATAATATCTTCATCATAATTAACAGTCATTTGACCATCCTCAAACTTTAATCCATCCACTTTCTTTACAAAAATTGTTGTACTAAATCTTAAACGTTGAAATAATTCTTTCTCGTTATTTTTGTTTTCATTAAATAATTTAAATAAACATTTTTCTTTATTTGGTTGATTAATAATAACAAAAAATTGAAGCCATAATTCATCATAGAAAGATTCTTTTATTATAATTAAATAATTACCTAAATATTTTAGAGGAAAAGTATTAAATAAATGTTTAATTTATTTTAATACAACTTTAATGTAAACAAATTTGGGCATTTTAAAAGTTAGGCCGTCTCGAATTTTTAGAGCCTAAACATAAAAATTTTTGAGAATGGACTTAACTTTGCTCGATTTAACAAATTATTTAGCTAAATAGTGGTAGCTAGAGCCAAAATTTTGTAGAACTAGGAGCAACTTTTAATTCTTTATTTAAACTCAGAATATGTGTTAAACTTTTACAAACAATTTTGGCTTTAGGAGTAGTGAAATATTCAAAAACGTAAAATTTTTCTTTTAAAATACTCGCCTTTTAATTCAAATTTAACACAAATTTCAATATTCGAATATTTCATTTTCTCTTCATCTTTTTTGCTTTTTATCGAGGTTGCTTCCATAAATTTAATCTTATCTTGATTAATTAATTCTTTCCTTTTAATTAATTTTCGAGGTCCTAACGGATTCAAAAAACAAATTAATCGGGTTAATTCATATCCGTTATTTATTTTTAGGGATAGTAATAAATTTATCCCATTTATTTTTATTTCTTTTTTTATGACATTATTGTTTAAATTAAATAAAATATTATTTTCATTTAAAATATTTTTTGTTTCGACTTCAATTTGAGCATGAAACAGAGGAATAATTTTAATCATCAACTGCTTAAATATATTATTATTTGAATATTTGATATGTTTTATAAAAAAGATGTTCGGGCCGGACCTTCGCCATAAACAAACATTCCCTGATCCCTTTAACATGTTCCTGCGTAACTTTAAATTAGTAGATTGTTCGGAAGCTCTTAATATTAAAATAACTAAAAGCATCTCAACTTTTCATTATAATTTTGGGGTAATATTTTTCCTCATGTGTTTTTTCCTTACAGGGTAGTATACATATGTGTTTATTCGTTATAAAAGTTTTTCGATATGTTGCTAGCCTTAATGTTCAGCGAATTTTGTTTTATTATAATATTCTGTTTGATTGTAATCGAAAACTGAATGTTTTATCTGATTTAAAAAGTAAAAATGTAGCGGAGATTTTTGTGTTTAAAAAATATATGAAAAAATATTTAAAAAAAATATAAAAAATATTGAAATAAAATAAAAAATAAAAATAAAAAAATATTCATTATATGAAAAATGAACACAAATAGTTTTAGTAGTGGAGGATACCCTTTCAGTTGAGAGCGTAAGTTGAATTTTTTTTCAAAATTATACTCTACAAAGTGAATTTAAAAAATTATTTTTAATTTAAAAAAAGGTTGTCGGATGGGGAAAAGACAAAACCTGGAATTTCCTATTGGATTGGCCGAAATAGTTGGGGAACTGCTTGGGGTGAAAATGGTAAGGAACAATAATCTTTTCT